ATTCCCAGTGACATCTTTAAACTCGAGGATCTTGAGTCTCTGATTGGCTGACACGCTCAGCTCATTTGGGTTTCGCGCCTTAAAGGTATAGACGGCGAAATAGACCTGCGTGGAGGAGAGAAGGTGAGTTAGGGAACCCGACACTGCCTGGAAGGGCCCTACCCACAGAGATTTCTGCAGGGACGGGGAGGTTCTGTGTCGGCACCGTCCAGGGTGGTGGCCCCCAGCTGCAGGTGGTTGTAAGCACTCCAGACGAGGCCAGTGGAGAGACCGAGAACCACATCTTTTCTTATTTTAGGTTTCTGCCATAGAGCATGCACGCTCACCAGAGAGAGAGAGAGAAAGTGAGAAATCACCCCCCCCTCACCCTCCCCATCCGGATAGCCCCACTGCAACCCCTTCTCTGTTCTCAGGATTTGGGGCATGCGTACACATGTGCCCAGTGTGATCTTCAAGCTGCTGAGTCAGGACTCAAACTGTAATGAGCCATGTGGGAGTCCAGCACCTTAAACACCATGCCACCTGCTGGCCCCTTGGAACTGAATCTTTAATCTTAACTTACACTAAATAGCTATCAACGGCTGACGGCTATGAACTGGTTGATTCCTTTTCATGCTTTGAGCTGCCTGAAAGAAGGAACCTCCAGTCAGTATGGACAATGGATGAGACACGAGAATACCCTCATACCTCAAATACAGAAATCCTGGCACCAGAGTGGGAACAGAGAACTTAGAAAAGCCCCACACTAGCAACCTCAAAGTGAGAAAGGATGGCTGTAGGGCTGGGGACTGAGATACGGTGCAGAGCAGGACGGTGCTCCAGACCCCTGGGCCTGATGCCGGGCTTGCAGGTCTGGGCGACAGCTGGAGTGGGTGAGGCTAAAACGGAGTTTGCTGCTCGCACCAGACTCTGAGAAAGATCCATTTTCTCCTCAGTGCGTCCAGGGAAACTCCACCCAGGCTGTGGGCAGTAATGACAGGGAGCCGGAGCCCACACAGGCCTGACGCCACACCAAGGAACGTGGCCTGGAAAGCCAGAGCTGAGAAACGAGGCTGAACTGCTGCCTGGACCCCCGACAGTGGTAAGGCAAACCCTGCCGAAGACGAGCTCACAGCCCAACCACAGCACGGGGGGTGCTCGGTGCAGTGACCACACGAGGCCACCAGCCGGGAGTGGCGACTCTTCAGCTGTGAGTCTGCACGTGGCTGTAGGACATCCGGTAGATGGGACCAGCAGATGTCATAATGGGTATGTGGCTGGACTCCCATGCAGGCAACTGCAGTTCGAACCCTGGACCCGGCAGCCTAAAACTCATGCCAGGCGTGTGTGTGTGCGTGCCCAAGGTCTCAGGAGAAGAATGGATAAGAAGGAATTGTGGCATGGCCATCCCCCCGGGGGTGATTTCTCTCTAAAAAGAAGAAAAAGACATGTGGGTAGAAAATGTTGCAAGGATGTGGAAAAAGGAGAACCTTTTTACACAGTAGGTGGGAATGCCAATTAGTATAGCCATTCTGAAAACAGAACGGAGTTCCTGGAGAGACTAAAATTAGAGCTCCCACATGACACAGCAGTCTCGCTAGTGGGAATATGGCCAAAGGAAAGGCCTCGGTCACCCGTACAGGTACCTGCACCCCAGGTTTGTGGCAGCACTATCCACAACAGCCATGATGGGAAAGCAACCGAAGTCCACCAGCAAAGGAAAGGAGAAAGAAAGAAGCATGTGTGTGTATATGTGCACGCACACAATGGAATACTATTCGGCTGTTAAAAAGGACACGATCCTGTCATTCGCGGTTCACTGGCAAGCCTGGAAGACAAAGTGTTAAATGAAACAAGTCATGTGCAGAAAGGCATCACATTCTCTTGCTCCTATGTGGGAACTGGGAAAAAAAAAAATGGTCTTGCAGAGTAAAGGGATGAAGAATGACAACAGGAGGCTGGGCCAGGGTGAATAGAGATGCTGACTAATGGACATACAATCACAGATAGGAATAAGCTCTAGTGTTTTAAGATACAGTAGGGAGGGGCCACAGGTAGTATGGTGGTTAAGATGCTGGACTCCCGGGACCAGCAGTTAGCGTAATGGCTATGTCGCTGGACTCCCATGTAGTCAACCGCGGTTCGAGTCCGGACCTGGTGTCTTAAACTCATGCAGGGCATGTGTGCGTGCATGCCCAAGATCCCGAGAGGAGAATGGAGGAGAAGGGATTGTGGCCATCCCCCCTGGGGGGTGATTTCTCGCTTTCTGTCTCTCTGTCTCTCTCTGGCTGGCGGGCGAGTGCACGCGCCCTATAGTAAAAACCTCTCCAAAAAAAAAAAAAAATGCTGGACTCCCACATGGCTGCTGCAAAAAAAAAAAAAAAAAAAAAATGCTGGACTCCCACATGGTGGCTGGAAGTTTGAGTCCTGGACCTGGCAGATTGCTTTCTCACTTTCTCTCAGGCACATAGCAAATTAAAAATAATAAGTTTTTAAAAATTAATAAGTACTTCTTACCAAAACAATATAGTGGGGAGAACACAGCCGTTAATACTTGCTGTGCATGTCGGAGTAGAAGAAAAAAAAAAAAATGCTGGACTCCCACATGGTGGCTGGAAGTTTGAGTCCTGGACCTGGCAGATTGCTTTCTCACTTTCTCTCAGGCACATAGCAAATTAAAAATAATAAGTTTTTAAAAATTAATAAGTACTTCTTACCAAAACAATATAGTGGGGAGAACACAGCCGTTAATACTTGCTGTGCATGTCGGAGTAGAAGGGAGGATTGTGAATGTCCCTAACCTAAGGAATGCCACTGGGGACGTGGTGGGAGACTGACCGGAACAAATCAAGCCGTATTCTCGTACCGTGGACTGCACTGTGGCTCCACAAACATGTATGCTTACTATACTGCTAACAACAAAGTAGGGACAGAGCATCATGGTTACATCGCTGGACTCCATGTATTCAACTGCGCTTTGGGTCCCAGACCCGGTGACTTAAAATTCATGCTGGGCGAGTGTGCATGTGTGCCCCAAATCCCAAGAGAATGGAGAAGGGATTGCAGTGTGGCCATGCCCCCAGGGGGAGATTTCTTGCTTTCTGTCTCTCCAGCAAGCACAAGTGTCATATAGCAAAAATCTCTCCAAAGGAAAAAAAAAAAAAAGCATTAAACAAAACAAAAAGATACAGAGCCTATTCTCAAACTCAAGACAGGAACGGACTATCACAAAAAGAACAGGAAAATGATAGGACCAGTCAGACTTTCTTTTTTTTTAAGAGAGGTTTTTGCTATAGGGTGTGTGTGCTCGCCAGAGACAGAAAGTGAGAAACACCCCCAGGGGGGATGGCCACGCCACAATCTCTTCTCCTCTTGGGATCTTGGACATGCACACACACACACGCCTGGCGGAGTTTAAGCCACGGGGTCCGGGACTCGAACTGCGGTTGACTACATGGGAGTCCAGCAATGTAGCCGTTACACCATCTACTGGTCTAGACTTTCTAAACTCTACTTTAACAAAACGTCATTTGAATGAAATAAGTGGTTTAAACAACTGGAATTCACAAATTAGAAGATGGGAAGGTTTTCATTATGACCCCTTTTAAATGCTGAGGACACGGCAGGAGGGGTCCAGGAAAGCCAGTGTTGAGTCAGTGTGGCTCCCCTGCATGCTTGGGAAGGCCCGCCTGCTCCCACCCCCAGACTGCCCAGGCCGGCACGCCTCATTCACCCCCCTGCCCCCCCAGCCCTCATAGCCCACTCCCCCAACCCTGATGCCACAGTGTGAGCCAGGGGTGCTCACCTGGCTGCCGGCCGCCTCGCTGCCTTCTGGCTCCTCACTCTGGTTTTGCAGAGCCTGGGCTGCCCTGTACCCTCTGACGAGGTCTTTGCCTTGCCCGTTCCACCCTGGTACAGAGTGACCAACCACTTCTGGATGCTTGGAGCTTCGGTGGCTCCTAGGGGTGATAGCGGGTTGGCTCACGTCTCTGGCTCCGTCTGCAGAGTCCCCAGGTCTGGGCTGAGAGGTGGAATCTGGGTCCGAAGGGCACCTGGAAAACTCTGAATTACTCGGGCTCGGGGACGCACTGAGAGTTCCCTGGTCACCTTCCTTCAGTGAAGATGCATCTTGAGGCTGCTTCTGGCAAGACCCCGAGGTAAAGGACACAGCCATGCTGCCGGGGTTGAAGGTCAAGGTGCTGCCGCTGTTCTGCCGCAGGCACCTGGGGGAGGAGCTGCTATGCTCTGACTCTGTGGAGGAGTGGCTGCCCACGGAGGCGTCCGAGTGGCTGCGGCGAGGGTTGTAGGGCTTTAGGAAGGAGCTGTACACGAAGCCTTTGGTAACTACGGGAAGGAAACAAAAACATCAAGAGCTTTTAGCAGAATACAGGGAGCTAGCACAGAGAAAAAGAACAAAAATCAATAGAGAAAAAGTTGTGGTTTAAGTGAGATCGGGGCTAACAGGCAGCATGAAGATTAGGGTTCCGGAGCCCACATGGCTGACTCGGTAGTTTGAGTTCCAGACGCAGCAGCTTCAAAAACAAGCTGGGCACATGAGCGTGCATGCCCACAACACCAACAGGAGAAGGGAGGAGAGGGGAATGTGGCATGGCCATCCCCCCTGGGTGGAGAGCTGATTTCTCATTCCCCGCCCCCTCTGGTGAGCACTCACCCTACAGGAAAAAAAAAGATACCCAGTGACAGAAGGGATTGAAATGGAATCCTGGGATCCACTGTGTGTGGCCAGCTCGTTCCTGTTACCACCTCGCAAGAGACGAGTGATGGGGAGGGCTGTGCAGCTGAGAGGACGGGCAAAACCACCCGGTCTGGGAGCGGGCACGTGAAGAAAGGGTGGCCACGTCACGGCCACGGGAGACTGGTCGTACTTCACACACGCTGAGCGTGGCGGGGCGTCTGGAGCACCCCCACAGAGGGGCCCCATCACGGCCACGGGAGACTGGTCGTACTTCACACACACTGAGCGTGGCGGGGTCTGGAGCACCCCTCACAGAGGAACTCCCCGGCAGGCATCCTCGCCCTTTCCCTCCCAACGCTGGAAGCCCTGGTGTAAGGATGCCGTGGAAACACTGCACGCATGCTCACAGGCAGGACGCTGTGTGCACTAGTCAGAACACACGTGCCGCGCATGTTCACTTTAATTCATTACCGAAGGGCTGGCCCCTTGGTGCGGTGGGTAAGCCCTGTGCAGAGGGAGCCCTGGATCCCACACCAGACCCGGCAGCCTGAAGGACACGCCAGCCGCGTGTGCAGGTGTGCCCCAAACCTGACAGTAAGGGAGGGGCTGCGGCGTGGCTCTGCCCCCCAGAGGTGTGCTGTCTCACGCGCGCTCTCCCACTCCTTTCAGAGTGCATGTGCCACTGGCAACACAGATCACTAACTAGACCATCCAGGATGACGACGGAGAGGGCCTTCGGCTAAAACCTGTAAGCATAAATTAGAGGTGGAGCCAGTATTATAAAGAACTTGTCCTCTGGATGCCAAGAGAGCCAATCTGTTAAGGGAAAGACCCAGATTACGTAATCTCCATGAGAGCAAGAGCCTTTTCTCTCTCTAGAAGAAAGGAAGTTGTTTTTCTTACTCACGATAGGATGAGAGAGAGGTGCGCACCTCCCGCAGGGTCTGCTTTGCCACCACTCCCGCCTCCAGGCCTCTGGCCTGCTGGACCCGGGCACCCCTGCATGTGCCCACCGCGTTTCAGGCTGCCTGGGCTGGGCACGCAGGACGCGGCTTCTCTCGAGCAGCGCATTGCTGCTGGCCACGGCGCCGGCCCCTCTCTCAGCTGTCCATGGGTTTACTGTACCTGGTGGCCTGGAAGGGCTGGTGGGTCAACCAGCTGAGCCTGACCCTGTGGGCTGCATGCCACCCCTCTGCTTCTCAGGACGGAGCAGATAAAACCCGAGGATAGAGCAGCTCCTCAAACCCCCTGCAACTTGAGCGCTTCATCTGCCTCTGACCCCAACAGTGACTGTCACCTGTCACCCCAGGAGGTTTCATCCTTTGTCCTTCTGTCCTTCCTTCTCCACTTGCACTCTCTCATTATTCTGGTAAAATCTACAATTTTTTTTTTTAGGTTTTGCCATAGGGTGTGTGCTCCCTGGAGAAAGAGAGAGAGAGTGAGAGAGAGTGAGAGAAGTCACTCCCTAGGAGGGACGGCCATGCTGCGATCCCTTCTCCTCCATTCTCCTCCTGGGAGTTTGGGCCCATACACACATGTGCCCAGAATGATTTTTAAGCCACTAGGTCTGGGACTCAAACCACAGCTGGCAATGTGGGAGTTCAGTGCTTTAAGCACTATTGGCATATGGTTTTTTTATTTTTTTAAATTTTTTTAAGAATTACTTAACTTTGGGACCAGCAGTTGGTATAATGGCTGTGTCGCTAGACTCCCATATAATCGCCCGGAGTTAGG